AACTGTACAAGAACTGCAAAGTCAACCTAAGAACCAAAATTAAATTGAGCTTTCCTATACATTTTCACCAAAAAAATTACTAATAGAACTTTAAAAAACTGCTGATGATGCACAGTGGAATTCATACTTTCCAGGAAAACATATTAGCTCTCTATAATGGGAAAACACAGTCCCCAAGCCAAGTGATAGTCTTGAATCTATAAGGATATAAGGACTGACTGAATGTTTAAAACTGGGAAACATGAAATCAGAAGAAAAAAGATGTATTCTTCTTTTAGTGTTGAAAATAACATTTAGCACATATTGAAAGTAAGAACACTGCTTCAGTGTAATTTATATATATTTGTTAATTTGTAGCTTAGTCTATTATTTTTACCTAAGAGCAGTAAATGAAAATGTTAAATATCCTAATGACTAACACAACATAGGCACAGATGCATTATACATGATAAACTTTAACTCACATTTCACTAATCTATGTAGATTTAACTGACTAAAAGCAAGAAAGTGATTTCTATATAGTTTATCTCATCAAGTTCATATGTTTTTGGTGGGCAGGGTGCTGGGGATTTAACCAGAGGGCCCTTTACTACTGAGCTGCATCCCCAGTCCTCTATTTATTTATTTATTTTTAAATTTTTAGACAAGGTTTCATATAGTTTCTTAGGCCTCACTAAATTGCTGAGTCCAGCCTTGATCTTTTGGTCCTCCTGCCTCAGCCAAGTCACTAGGATTACAGGTATGCACTTTAAAGAATAAGAAAATCCTAACCTATAACATTTAGAAATAAGAAAAAAATTCTTGAAATGTAACTTCCTACCTAATTATTTAGTAAAAGAAAACGGTATAGTGAACTAAATAAAAGTAAACAGTCATTAGTAATTGATATTACAAGTATATATGAAAGGAAGAAAGGAAGAAAAACACAAACAATATTCTTGGGTAGAGAAAAAAGAAAGACAAGAACGGGGATAGGGCTGTGGCTCAGTGGTAGAGCAGTTACCTGGCATGTATGAGGCACTGGGTTCGATCCTTAGCACCACATAAAAATAAAATAAAATAAAGGAATTTTGTCCACCTACAACTAAAAAAAACTTCATTAAAAAAAAGAAGGCAAAAAGGTTCCAGTCCAGTCCAGATGATTTTAGCAGGAAAAAAAAATCAATAGGTGATCTCTGGTGGCTGAGATTCACCTGGAGTGATTATCTGTTACTTAAAATAGATTTGTGCCTGCTCCCAAATTAAGTTTTATCAATACTTGTATAGGCATTTAAAAATGTTTCAAGGAAGGGACATAGGTTAAGAACAAATGAAAAAGAATAAACTTACTTTATTCGCCTGTCCTCTCTTCTCCAGGCACTAATTGCTTAACTATCCACCCTCTGCTCTTTCATTATCTGAAATGTACCCAGACTTGATGAAGCCCTTTATTCCCACACCATTTTCCTTCCTAACAGAACAATAATGTGTCCTTCCTTGGTTGTCATTTGTGTGACATATACTGACCACTTAGCTGTGAGGCCTTCATGGTGCTAACACATTTAAACCTAAGTTCGAGCAAGATTGAAGTTTGGTCTGGATTTAAACCTAAATGTGAGAGGAAAAAAGCATTCTCCCCTAGAGTCTCTGAAGAAAGCAGGCCCTGCTAGTAGCCGATTTTGTTAGGAAGCCTTAGGATGTTAATACACAGACCGTACCTCTATTATAAAGTAAACACCGAAAAGAACATTTGGCACATTTGGAAAGTGAGACCACATCTGTTGATCTGTCTTGATACCCTTCAACTTGAACAGAATTCTAGACAGTGTGTATCCAGTGCTTCAGGTGGGAAATAATTAGAGCCAGACTAATTAGAGTAGTGAAAGGTTAAATGTAGAGAAACCTGAGCAATATTTAGGGGGCAAAAAAAAAAAGTAGGATTTGTTGATTGTTAGGATTCCAGTGATTAAGAGAGATGGAATTATCAAGCAAGAATTCCAGATGTCTGCATTCATGGAAGTCAGATATATGTGCCAATTACATATCCACTGCTCAATGTGTGTACATGACAGTAATGTTGAAAGGAAGGCTAAATTGTGTGATGAATATGCCACAGTCCATAAAACATTATATTTGGAGAAAATTTAAGGAAGACAACAATGATAGTTAGGCTTTGGTCCGCTTGGTTGAACAAGAGCCTTATTTTAGGATAACATTCGATTTTTTGAAAAATACTTTTTTAGTTGTAGATGGACACAATACCTTTGCTTTATTTATTTATTTTTATGTGGTGCTGAGGATCAAACCCAGTGACTCATACATGCAAGACAAGCACTCCGCCACTGAGCCATAACACCAACCCCACATTCGATTTTTGTAAAAAATATATTTTACTTTGCCTTTGGAGCAATGGTCTGAATACAGATATTTTATTTAACATTTGAAAGTTCCATTTTACTTTTTGTGGCTGAGATTTTAAGAATTTATTGATTTCATTAATGCAGAAGTTATTTATCTTTGCTGAGTAGCATATCTGCTTCAATCCCGTTCCTGTGCATTATTAACACTTTAGATAACACTCTGCAACTGACCCTTGTTTCTGAACATTCACTTCAGAGGCAAAGGGCAGTGTGTTGGTTGTAAGCATGAAGCAAGCTTTAAGAGTGAATGAAGTGTAGTTTAAAATTAGAGTCCTGATAAAAGGCCCACATGAAGGTTATTTGATAATTACATAATGGAATCAGTTTGCTAAGCTAGTCAAGTACCTCGCTAGTGTCCAGTATGAATGAAACTGGCCTCCTCAGAAAAGCCCTTGATGACTGTGGCTGTCTTCCTCCTATCTGATTAAATAAGAGAAAAATTGATGTGAATCCTTATAAGCAAGCATGGGAAAACAGAACAAAGCCAGACACTTTTCCCTTACAGAATCAATATGATAGAAAACGTGTTCTATTTTGTCCTGTGAAGATTTTTTAAAGTCACAATATACATTTTTTTTTAAAATTTCACAACCAGGAGTGCCTAAGGTTGTAAAAACTCAACTGATACCATCACTCTATTAAAAAAATGTAAAATCTTAACTGGATGAATCATATGCCAAAAATTGTAATTTTAAGAGTTTCAGGAGTTTTAACATTATTTATTCCCAAGTATGAAATGGGTTAAATATGTATTTGTTTAAGCTCATTTGGTGAATCCCAGCAGAGGTTGTGGAAGTGAAGTTCTTCAAAACAGTGTTTGTGAAACATTTTTTCATCTTCCTGTTTTAGCCTGTGCATTGTGTTGGTAGATTGGGATTGTAGGGCACCAACATAAAAATCTGAAGTTTTGTGAGGGGAAGGATATTTAAAAATTGTAGACCATAGGTGTTTGTAGAGACACACTCATGAAATTATAGAAAACAACATATAGAAAAATGAGGTTCTCTCTGATTTCACAGCAATTGGGAAACAGAAATAGACTGCAGTACGCTAGAATAGTGGGAAAACAGTGGTGGGAAAGCACTGAGTGAGTTTTAGCACATGCTAAATACTAAATAACTTATCTGGTGTCCAGATAGAGAGTACTCTTATTAAACTTAGATGATAAAACATCAAGAAGAATTTAAGATGACTTTATATAACCACAAGATGATTTGTCATTATTACTTTGCTATGCCATCAGAGAATCACACTCCAAGCAAATTTAAGATATGTATAAATCAACATAAGAAATAGTTCCCAAGAAAAAGAAGCTAATAACAAAATATATTTATTTCATTCTGAGGATAGAATTTGTAGGGATTTAAATCGCTATTCCCTACAGGAGTTTCCTTTATACCATGTGAGGTGGGTAATGGATATAGAAAATTAAATATATCTTTTGGTGTTATAAATAAAAACCAAAACAAGAGAAAGATAGTCAAAGTGTCTATTCACTTAACCATGACAAATTAGGCTTTAAAGAATAAGTAATGTGTTTTCCAAAATGAAGTTAATCCACCATGATATTATTCTCTTCTTATTTTTATTTCCTCAGAAAAGGTCTTCAACTCAATATCATTATCAGCAAAAATTGTTAAAAAATAATCTCAAGTAGAAATGTCATGTACATACTTTAGCTCCTTAACTATAAGTAGTATGTATATGTTAGTTACTAAAATCACATATGATCATTTCTATGGATAATATGGATAGAGTATTAATTCCTAGAATTATAAAATCGAGAAAGAGCAATCAAATTTTGAGTAAATCAGGAATGAATAACATGAAATGTCATAGTCAGCAAAGCCATGAAGGTCATGGGTCATAAATATAATCACATCATCCTAGAAATAAGTGAGTGAAGCAATATTAAATTCATGTACTCCTAACTTCCACCCTGCAATCTTCTGTTTGCACAAGTGGTGAGTTTAGGGTGAGTGTCAAAGATGGATCTAGGGTCAGTTTACTCAGCAAACAAAAAGTAAATTGTGGTTTGACTTCATTTGCTATTGCTTTTATTGTGCCCTGTCAGGTGAGAGGAATCATCCTTCTATATAGATAGCCAAATCTCTGTGCTCTGACAGAATTAATGGCTTTTAAGGAAATGTTTTCTTAGAGATCACTTTTCTGCTCATCTGTAATTTAAAGGTGGTCCATGGCCTCACTATTAAGGCCTATGTGAGGAAATGACATACCATCTCTTCTCTGAAACCCAATATCATGGCCTGATCACAGGTTTCCACGGAAGCCCCGCAAATGCTTGGGAACTCATGACTCTGGCTACTTTTAAGTTTAAGGTGTCTCTTCCAAACACGTTGCTCTTTTTCTGATCAGTTTGGTTAAATGAAATACCTGATTCATCTTTTCTATAACATTATATGACAAATGTTATAGCTTGGGTAGATTTTACTGATGTCATTAAAATGTGTAAAATATTTTCTAGTAACATAAACAAGCTTCAACTATAAGAGCGAACTTTGATGAACTTCTGCTTGGACCCTCCTGAAGTCCATTAAGTTCTAGCTGTTTAAACTCCACACCTTATATCTTCTCCATTACTTCCAAGCCCTGAGAAGAAATAAGTCTTCAACACAGTCCTTGTTTCAATGGTGTTTTTCCTCTTCTTGGAAGCATTGTCATCAGTCACCATTTGGTTCTCCATCCTGAACCTGAAGCACTTTAAGAAACTCTTTATAATAAACAGACTTCTCCTAATAGTAAGACTAGTTATAATGTATATTCTACACTGATGCTGCATATATGTTTACTTTTTTGAACCTTATGTGTGGTGAGATGTCTTCTTCTCTCTCATTTTACCATAGATGATATCTTATTGAAAAATCAGAATTGTGTGGGGATAGCCTTTAGGACATCACTGATTTAGGCTAGGCTGAAATAGACCTTCCAAACCCATGCTAATGTAAAATCTCTAAACATTAAGTTCAGAGGGATGTCTAGCAATTCATCCTGCACCAAACAAAACACTTTCAGGTATGGATTAATTGGTACTGTGAATAAACATGAATCCTATAAAGAAAGAAAAGTCAGCTTTTTGACAGAATTCATGAACATCATCTTAAAACTATACCTTGTTTAACTGGCATTTATTGCTCATATCTGCCCAAAATACTATAAGCTCCATGAGGACAGAAATTTTTATCATTTCAAAAAGTTCATAAGTCCTATTTCCTAGAACATTTTTAGGTAAATGAAAATGCAGCAAATATTTGCTGAATGAATATTTACTTTAACAATAGTGAATACTTAGTTCCAATGCTTTATCTTTATTTCTTATATTCTTTTAACTTGATCATATGAATTTCTTTTTTCTAGTAACAAAGAATAATTTCACAATTATTTCCAAATTAATTATGAAATACATAGTAGATAAAATTATACACACACACGCCATATTTTCATTCATTTAAAATCTTATAATTTAAATATTTTAAGCATGTTTTAGAAGAAAGACTAGGTAAGCTTTGAATACTTGTCTGCCTGTTAATTATATAATTTAAGCAAACACATAACATTTGTCATGTTTTTATTTTTGGGTATAAATTGTGATAATTTTCTAATACAATATTTTATGTACCTACCAAGGATATGGCACTTGGGAAAAGTTCTATAAATGGTACTTTGCAAGTATTAGCTATTGAAATAGGTTATTGAGGGCTTTTTATTGGTTGGAATGAATAATAACCTTCATTAAACTCATTTAAATGAAGATTGGAAACTATTGAAAACACTATTTCACTACTTTTTTTTAATTAAAGGGGAGAGTGGGAAAGGAGTCTGACTAATGATGATTTAAGTGTTCTGGCTTTGGTGATTGGGAACTCTAAAAGAGTGGCTTCTATGTATGTTAATATGATGACATGCATCTTAGTATTTATTTCTAATCATTTTGTCATTGTATGTATCTACAATATGCTCCTAATCCACCTTGTATTATCTCTACTCCAGCCCTAGAATCAATGATCTTCCTAATAGAGGTCTGATTTATTTTATTTTATTTTATTAGTATCTTCCCATTTGTTTTACTTATTGCTACATTTGCTAGGATATATGAAGGCATATGTACATGGATATGCTTGTGTATGTGTTTCATAGTAAAACATATATATAAATTCCTTTAATGATATTAATATTATTCAAAATGTTAAAATTTTACATTAGAATGTTTATTTTATAACTTTATTGCATATTCTGAGTATAAAAGTAGTATGACCTCAGTGTAAATTTTGATAGTATCATAAACATTCTATAAATAGCTTCATCTTGCTTTATATATGAATGTGTAAAAATTTAGTTTGGAGGTATTAAGTAAAGAAAACAACTTTGCAATATGCTGAATCAAATATGTATGTGCAATTCTTTAATTCTCAATATCTCTCTTTTATTTATGTGTATTATGGATCTCTAGAAAATATATATCACATGCACTCTTTACAAAATTATATAACTATTGGAAACTTTAATGAAGATTGGAAACTCTTGCAAACACTATTTCACTAGTCAGGAGATGTGTTGTGATTATTTGACATATGATTCATCCATTATAGTAATGAAATGATATTATATTTGAGTTAATCAAGAATATTATTCTAATATTCTAATATAAATGCCTTTGTACATTTTTCTTTCCTATTAGAGTAGTATATTATTAGATATGTGTAATGATGAATTGTTCTAATACCTTAACTGGAAGATGTGTTCAAATCTCTCATGGAGAAGGAAAGATTGCAAGATCTAAGCTCTGGTCAGGGGCACAATGTGAAAATTAAGAATTAGAGAGGGATTCCAGCCACAGAAATAAGCAGAGATACAGTAAGTAACTGGTGTCATGGAAACCTCTAACTGCTTGAGCAGGTTTGTGCACAGACCTCCTTACAACCTCCACGTCGGGGTTTTCAACAGCAAGCTGCTCTGACACCTTCCTTTCTTTTCTTTTACAGTCTTCATAGGTCATTTTCCTTCCAAAGATAGTAATAAGATATATGCAATTATAATCAAATCGTGTATTAATGTGTATTTGAGGATACTGATTATTAATTTTATCATGTTTCTGTTTGTGAAATTAATAGAAATTTGCCATATCTATGTCTTTGTTCCATATAAAACAACTTCTTAAACATAAGACAATACATATGAACAATAATGGCTGCAGTTTAAATAGTCTGACTTAATGCCATTATATATTTCCAGACCCTTTCAAATAAATTTTATTTTTAACTTATTATTCTTTATATTTTCTGAACAGAGTCACACAGAATCTAATTCTCTGTGATTAAACAGAGTTAATGTCAGCATGAAAGTTAATAATGAATAACCTTGAAAACACATTCATTTGATGTTACATATCCACATCCCATTTTAGAATGTTTGAATAAATTAAAGAAATTCAAATTTTTTTCAATCTATATTTGGTACAGATAGTTTCAATTTATTAAAATGAAGTACCTTAACTCTCAGAGTACTCAAGCAAATTTAGTTCTTTCACACTGCTCTTTGTGTTACAATCTTATTTCTTTGTCCTTCTTAAAAATACACTTCTGACTTGAATATTCCAGGAATAATCTGTGAATCTATTACTGTTAGAACAGTGAATGACGGATAATGGAAACCTGCACCTGGGAGACTAAGCTTCAGTAACACAAGCACAGAGACTTCAGGTAGAGGTCCAACATTAGAACAAAACTACACCAACAAAGACCCTGAAAACTACTGAGGTGTGATTGAAGCATTGGCTCACTGTTTAATGGCCTAAGGTTATCTGGAATATGTTTCTCAAGATTAACCAGAAAAATCCCCAGTGACATCAGATTCTCTCTAGTTTTCATACTAAATTTCACCTTTATTCTTTATCTTCTACTGTTCTCCCTCTTGTTACAGGAAATAAAACTTGTCTTAGACTAGTTTCTCAAAAGACTTTCTGAGACTGTTGTTTTGATGTTCTACCTATACATCCCTTAGTAGTCTGTTGTGGAATTGTGGGAGCTTGTGTCATAGTTCATTGAAATTGTGTACATGGCACCTCTCCTATTTGGTAAGCTTTTAGATGTTTGGGACTCTAACATAAATATTCTCACTTTGCTATTCTATCTCCAGAAATTGGTATAATAACTATAGATTGAGGCAGCCAAACCAATATTTACTCATGTAAAAATCAAAAGAAGTATTCAATTCATTTCAGTTTCCTGAGTTCCTTATTAAAAGGGTCTCTATTCATTAACTTGGTCCTCACTGCAACCTTATGTATGTGAAACTTTCAAGACATTCAACTTTATGTGGCTTCATTATCCTTTCAACCATTACTGTGTACATTCTTCCATAAATTACCAGTCTATTGGTTAGAGTTCTCCAAAGGTGCTAAGATAGTTTAACCTCATACCCTCACTCCTTTCCCTCTAAGTATAACATCCTTCGTCTGAAATTAAGTTTTCTATATGCCACCAGATACGGTACACCTTTTATGAAACTAATGAATATATTCTTAAGTAATAATTAAAACCAATATCTATAGACTTAGAATCTAACTATAAATGTACTAATAATGAAAACTTGTGCTTAGATAATGTACTGTTGATATTGGGAACTGTTAATATTGTCTTTCTCTGCAAAAGAGGGATTTTGGAGCTATACAAGAACAATACAAATATATAAGGGGAAAAACATTAACACAACAGTTTCACAAAGCTAGAAAGAATCATGAGCAGTATGAAAAGACAAGGAAAGAAAGGACCACAGACAATACAGGTCAATTCAACATTAGATGAGGTAATATCTGCAGCTTATGGATTGTCAGACAAAGAGTTCAGGATATACATGCTTCAGATGATCTGGAGTCTCAAGGAAGACATTATACAGCAAATTCAGACAATGAAAAATCACTTTGACAATGAATTACATAAACAAATCCAAGAAGCAGAAGATCAACTCTATAGGGAGATAGAGGATATAAAAAACAAACAAACAGAAATCCTGAAAATGCAGGAAACAATAAACCAAATTAAAAACTCAAATGAGAGTATTACCAGCAGAGTAGAACACTTAGAAGATAGAACTTCAGACAACGAAGACAAAGCTTTTCAACTTGAAAAGAACATAGACAGCTCAGAGAGAATGTTAAGAAATCATGAGCAGAACATCCAGGAATTATGGGATAACATCAAGAAACCAAACCTAAGAGTTATTGGGATACAAGAGGGTATAGAGGTCCAAACCAAGGGAATGAGCAATCTCTTCAATGAAATAATACTAGAAAACTTCCCAGACTTAAAGAATGAAAAAGAAATCCAAATACTAGAAGCCTACAGGACACCGAATGTACAAAATCATAAGAGATCCACACCAAGACATATAATAATGAAGATGCCCAACATACAGAATAAGGAGAGAATCTTAAAAGCCACAAGAGAGAGGAAGCAGATTACATTTAGGGGTAAACCAATCAGGATAACTGCTGATCTTTCAACACAGACTCTGAAAGCTAGAAGATCCTGGAACAACATATTTCAAACGCTGAAAGAAAAAGGGTTCCAACCAAAATCATGTATCCAGCGAAATTAAGCTTCAGGATTGAAGATGAAATAAAAATCTTCCATGATAAACAAAAGATAAAGAATTTGCAGCTAGAAAACCAGCTCTTCAAAACATCCT